AAATAAGATCTAATTCTCGTCCGTTTAAAAAAAGTTAGTATAGTAATAACTTCTCAAAACCCGATAAAATCAACTTATTACTAAGCTGATTTTTTTAAACGGACGAGAATTAGATCTTATTTTTGATTATGGAGTCCTACAGCTCTAATGAAACCTTCTATATGTTTTTTTTTTTTTACTTTATTATGGTTGGTTTTCGTTTTTTTTAAAAAGTTTAAACTGTAAAATTAAATTGAATTTATTAGCCAATCAGACGAACTTCTGCAAAATACCGATGATTCCGTCTGAAAATTCCGGCGTAGTTTTTTGACAATCGGAAGACACTTACATCATAACTGACTGATACTACAGTACTAAAGATACTAAAATACTTTGTCGGAAAATATCATACGATACCACAATTTTGTGACCTATTCTAAAAAACATGCATTATTGCTGTATTGATGGAATGTTTGCTGCGACTTTATCATCAATAATAACTATGAAATCATTTCTAAACATGGATACTTGGCTATTTAGTGAAACAATTGTTTTGAGAAAAGAATTCTTTGTTGGTATGTACGAACCAATCAGTTTAAATCACGAAATTCCGTACCTTGACATTGATAAATTACAAACTCGGGCAAAACATTAAAGTCAATTTCAAATTATTTTGTCTAAAAAAAACAATAAGGAAATAAATATGAGTTATTCACTTATTACAAATCATCCAATGTTGTACAAAATAAGTCCGATATTCCGGCGAAGCCAATAATATTTCCAAAAATAACGAATAGTTCTGTAATCCTGTTCAGATGAGGACCACATTATCAAACAAAGCATCGTCATGAATGAATTCTTTGACGTGTCGTTTTTAGAGAGTTTCGGAAATACATGTACGTACTCTTTAAAATGACCCGCAATGAGGTAATCCTCATGATTATTCTTTGCCGAAAAAGATAAGAAAGAAATCCGTGACAGAAAAGAAAAAAAATAATAAATTAGACTCTTAATTTCTTGCAGCCTGTAATTAAAATACTCTATTAATTCTCTCCTTCTAGTGTTCATTGAAAACTCTCTAATAAAATGGAAGCTATCAAAGTAACTTATAACAATACCACACATCAAGTTACGCTTTCTAGCAAAACAAATTGGGATTCCCTTAAGTCTCAATTATGTGATCTATTCAAAATCCCGTACGAAAATTCTATTTCGTTGTCTTACACAGATCATAATGGTGATACTAAAGCTTTTTCCAGTGACTCCGAATTCGGGAAAATTCCATCTGATCAAATATCAAATATGGAGTTTATATTATCAGATGAAGATTTAGTCAGTAGTTGGGTCCTTGAAGGTTATTCAGAAAATAAAGAAACAATTGGTGATAGTTTAGACAATAAGAATACACAACTCGAAGGTATATCTGGACAAGCTTCTACCAAACAACCAATTGTTACTTTATTTAATAATTTTGAGAATACATCCAGCACAAGTAAAATTGATAGTGATGAAATCATTCAAGAGTTTTTCAATGTATGGTTACAATCTTCTTGCGGGTATAATACTCGCTTGGGCTCATTCAAACGCCATTTGTATTTAATCTTTGGAGATCGTAGAACATACGCATACATATACATTTCTCCGCAATATAATCAAGCCACTGTAGGTGCACAATATTGCGATTACATTGTCAGACCACGAAAATATCTGGCAATGAATGTTTTTAATGAAATCAAAAATACGATGAAGAAATTATTCAATAGCACAAAAGGAATGAAAGGAATGAAAAGACTGATCATTTTGATGTTGTCCTTCCTTACACTTGTTAAATTAATATCTATTACACTCTATATTACAAAAATCGGATTAACATGGGTTGGATTTTTTACAGTTATTGGATATATTAAAAACAATTATTCAGATGTAACTGATCAAGAAGAATCTACTAAAGAACAAAAAGATGAGAATATAGGAATTTCACCTAAGAATGCGATAGAGTTTGGAAAACGATGTTATGGTGACATGAAGCAAGTTATTGAAGAACTATTAGAATAATTAGTCTGGGCCAAATAAAGGTTCTATTGTGTCTTCCGTATTATCATGTGATTATCATGTGATAACAAGTCAATGATATTTCATTGATCATATGCTACACATTATTGAATTATCCAATACGTATTTTTTTTTTCTCCAGCATAGCAATTATAAATAATTTGCATTTTTTTATTTCATAAAACATATCATAAATATTAAATATATTTTAGCATATCAAATTTTAAATAAGGCTATACAAACTTAATAAATTGGTCCACATAACATAAAATTTTTAAAGTGACCCGGAAACCGGCTTTTCGAATTTTGGCCTAAGTTAAACTTAATTCAGGCCAAAATTTGAAATAGCGCTCATGGGTATTATTATGAGTCTAGTATCACCAGTCTAAAATTCCGCTCATCATGTGATCTTATTGCGAAAAGGGATTGCTACGGACACAGCAAATGACCAGCACTAACCTTAACGACACAGCATGGCCAGCATTATAGTTAAGGTTAATGTTAGAATTAGGGGAATTATATCACGTACAAGATTTTTCCGACACGTGACCATGGCCAATTAGATTGAAAGAGCAGGTGAAACGTGAAAATCACGTCTTTTTAAAAAATCGCTACTAACTCGAAATTTTACCTATGAAGCTGCCTTCTGCGTTCTAATAAAAAAAATTCCTCGTGAAATTTTAGTGTAAGCTATGACCCTTCTTATCCTTAATCCTAACTCTAAAGATGATGCTTATTACTTTAAAACTTTCGCTTAATTCGATTGTTTGGATTTTACGTTACACCCAATCCTTCGATATAATTGGCCAGAAATCACGTGCCGGAAAATCTTGTGGGTGAGCTACTAATGTCAGGCAGTGTTGTGCATATAAATCCTAACCTTAGCGCTAATTCTGGTCATTGTTGTGCAGATAAGCATTTGAAGTAGCTTAAATCCCTGGATTGAGCGGGTCCAAACACTAAAGAAACCATTCGGTATTAGGTTAAGGTTAGCAGGTGAGGTTTAGAGGGTTATTATTATACCACAATTTTGCAAGGAAAACTTTTACGAACGATTTCTGGATTGTTTTAGTTTTTTGAACTTTTTTCGCATTACACGTGATCGAAATTTGATTGGCCAGAGAAATTTTTTAGATTGGCGATTTTTAGAGTTATTGACATTATTACGCGAAAATGCGGTAAAATTTTTTTAAAAACCCTACCCGAATAGTAAACATATTTAAAGTTTTATAAAATTTGACCGGCCAACTAGCGATGTTGCCCAAACTATTTAGGACGTCCCAAACTATGTGATGTTAATGAGAACCGATTTATTAAGTTTGTATAGCTCAATCGTCTTTTTTCATTAATGCAAAATTTTTAATAAAGAACTAAAATCATAAATCATTAAATAAAAGTAAGAGAAGGTAGAACTTTGGAGTTAAGAACTAACATTTATTATATGTAAAACTTTCATTTCTGCCATTTTTAATTATCGTACAAAGGTATATTTTAACATTAGGTTTCAAGTATTTTTTGGCTTTTTCTTTTTTTCATCTGAGATATTCAAGTTTAAACTCAATAATTGTTTATTTGTTTGTTTAGGAGTTTGTATTACTCAAAAAAAAAAGAGAATATTATCAACAGTTGTTATTCAAAACATTAATTACAGTGCCAAAAGTATTTTGGTGTGCCTATAAATTCACGCATAAAGCGCGAAAATCCTAAAGTAATCTGTCACAACTTTACTAAATAAATTGATGCATACATATTAATAAACTTGTTTCTATATTTATATTTATTTACAATTGAATTGACAGTTTCATTAATTTTGCTGATTTGACATAAATGTCATATATATATTATTGATCAAGATTTTTATATTGTAGTATTTCTGATTGGATCAAAAAATGTAAACGATTAATTGGCCAAGAACTTTTTAAAAAATCGAAAAAGAAATCGATTATTTTAAAAACTCTAGCAAATATATATTATATATAATATTTTTAATGCCTAAAAATTATTATCCCGAAACTTGCTTTGAGTGCAAAAAATGTTTTTTTTTTGTTTAATCTTAACTTTCAAAAGTTGCAATTGTGGCAAATATATATTTTTTAACAATAAAAAATCATACAAAGAAGTTTATGCTTTTTTTGTTAAATTTTTTACATTTTTTTTGGCAACAAACAAATTATTTTTCTTGAATAATAAATTAATTATGAAATTAAATTTGATTCAACTTTTGCAATGGCAAATTTTATTGGATTAAAAAGAAACAATTTATGATACTAATTAAATTATTTACAAAACAAATAAGAATACAATTTCTATCATTGTAAAGTTATATTCAATCTATTTCTACAAAAGATATATTAGGTATATTTAAATCTAATAATAGTAGCATAAATTCTATTTCTACAAAAAATATATCTAATATATCTAAATCTAATATTGAATCTAATTCTTTGCAAGACACTGAATATTATTTACAAAAAATATATTTAATATATATAAATCTAATCATAATTTTTTACAAAATACTTTTAAAGTTGTTAATTATATATTTGCCACGTAACAGCCACACTTAATGTTAGGTAAAGTAGGCTTACGGTTAGAGTAGGACAATGGCTTATACCAAAATTTTGCGAGTAATTTTTTTTGTTAGAATCTCAAAGGTGGTTTTATAATTCGATATTTTAAGATACTGTATAACGATAATAAGAAATAATTTTACGTTACACCAGATCTTGCCTTCTGATTGACTTTCTATATACCATTTACATACACATAGTGTAAATTTTCTTTAAATACTAATTATAAAAAAATTATTAAATTATATATTACATATTTGCTATATTTAAAATACGACTACGTATACAAGTTTAAACCTTTTAAATTATACTTTTGTTTCTATAAATATAAAAAATGCATCTACAATGCATAAGATTGTAATAACATTAGCCTATTCAACAAGCTTGCTAAAAAAAAAATCAATTAATAATTTCAAGTTAAATTTAAAATTTTGATTGCTAACTCAGTACCATCCTGATTACAACTAAACGAGTAAATACTTAGTGGCTATTGGGTATGGTAAAACGACGTAAAAAAAGGTTACCATTTAATACTGCATAAAGTTAAGGTTGACAAAGAGGGTATTTTAAGACTTTAGGAATATTCGGGCAGATACTCCGAAAATTGTCGCTTAATATTAATCACGTCCAAAAAATCAAAAAAAAACGAGTTTTAAAATAATAGTAGAAACGCTATATTCGTGAAAAGTACCCGGTACTATTCTATTTTTAAATACAAATTTCTTGAATAAGACCAGGCGCTGTTGCATGCTAACGGTAATAGCGATAGTATGTTATTATGCTTTTAATAAACAATCAAAAATTCGAGGATCTTTTCCGAAAAAAGGTAATGGAAATTTAATTAGCGTTCATTATATAAGCAGGTAGATACATATGTGTGTACCTACCTTAGTCATCATTGAGTTAAAACTTTATTCTCATTTGCTGTCGCCATTTTTCTCATGCAAAGGTTTTCTAAATTTACACTTGGTGGTGTCACATTATCAACTAATTGTGAGTGTACAACATGAAAACTAGAATAAGGCTGCCATTCTTTTTAATCGAACGAATCAAAATTGTCTGCTATGGGCTAAAAATTCCAATAGCATATCACAATATTCTTTTTTACTTCTATCGTAGCAAATGACTCCAAACATGATAAATCAAACCTAAAATAAAACTCAAGCACTTGGAGGACAATATTCCGCACGCTACCATTCATATTGTAGATCTATATTTTATGCTGAAAAAGTCAAGAGACTACCCTATAAAAAGAGTTCGTAACATTAAGAAGTTAATGGCAATTTTAAATTTCACACATCAATACTTTAAGTTAATCAATACTTAGATTAATCAATACTTTAGATTAATCAATACTTTAAGTTAGCATTAGGATTGCAAAGTTAGCAAATTGGGAATTATTGGGAACTGGCCTTAATTGTAATAGATAAGATTGATATGGCATTTCAAGTAAATTTAAATTACCTAACGTTAGACCAGTTTTATGTTAGTTATTTACAGAATACACGGTAGAAAATATTTTGAGGTTTATCGTACATATGCAGTTACACTAATGACTTTACAGAATAGCCTATAATCTACCCTTTCTTATGTGAGAATTCACTAATTAAAGTAATTTATTTAAATTATGATTCATATCACATAGATAGACAGGATATTAGAAAATGAAATTTTATAAAATTTTATATTTATTTAACAATATAATGACAAAAATAGCAAACATGATACAATGTAATGTTCATAAAGGATTTCGATACTGAATAGGAACAATACTAAAAGAGAAGCTTACTATAAAACTATAAAACTAAAATTTGATGTTACAAAAATCTTAGATTGATTAGAGATTACAGTTTACGAATATTCAAATTATGGCGATATTCGAAGAATTGTAATCTTTTTTTTTTTTGTGGAATTTTTTTAAATGATGATTTATGAACAAAATATAGTTCTATATGCATTATTTTTTTCACAATTATTACACACATATATATATATATATTATTGTTTTTTGTTTGTTTGGGATTTGGTTTTTGGGCTTTATTTGTGTTTTAAGGCTGTTGTTCTTTTTTGCCATCTTCATCAGGATTGGTCGGTACTTCGTTATTATTAATGTTCTCTTCCTTTGTTTCTTGCTTGTCATCTTGTTTCCCAAACAATCGAATTCCCAGTTGTGTAGAAAACTTAATTAACTGATCAGTCTCCATCTTTGAAAAATTGTCGATGTCAAAATTAAAAGGTTTTGAATTTGCAGATGGAACATCATTATTGACACACATATTTGAAGCTTTAATAGTCGTACTAAGATGTTTAATCAACTTTTCTATATTATTAATTCTATCACTTAAAGAATTAATAAATTGATCATTTTGTTCGCATTTTCGACAAGTATATGTAGCATAAGGATGTGTGGAACGACGAATTACTACGCAGTATCTTCTGATATGGAACCTTCGATTAGAATTTCCATTAGTGACGATGGTGGATAAACGCTTAATTTGTTTAATTTTTGCGGCCATTTTGTAAAGTTAATATTTTTTATTTTGATGAATAATAAAGAAAACTTGTTCTGAAATTCCAGAAGGAAAATTTCTGCTCTTATTTATTTCAATTCCGTTGAATCTTGTCTAACATTGATTAAGCGTTTAATCTTATCTGATCTACATAGTATTGGTGAATTGGTACAAATTTAGAAGTTTAAAATATAATGTTATCACGTTTATCTCGCTTTTGTGTTAGTTTATTAATTTAATCGGCTCAGTTATGTTGGTTTTCCAAATTTGGAATTTACTTTCAATGCACAAATGAAAATGTTAAAATATGTGGCTATATGCATACATTTAAAGTAAGTGGCGATAATTAATCACTCAAAAAGAAGTACTAAATATGTTGTTACATTACTGTATTTGCATACATACCGTAATTATAAATAATAATAAGTTTATATGAACATATAAATGTACTAATCCTATTGTGTATATAAATCATTTCCAAATACTTACCAGTAGGCATTTTAACATGTTATTTATCAAACATGTCTTATTATTGATACAACAAATGCTTTTTCTTAATGAGTTTCATATTGATTTCAATTAAGTTAATAAAAACAATTACCTATTAACAAGCCACGGACCTCGGCCTTTGATTTTAATTTTTCGTTAATGACAATTTAAGCAATTTAAGCAATTTCTGCAACATTAACCAATTGTAAATCTCCTTATGTATACACTGCTACCTTGTGACTGATTATATAAACTAATGCAAATTACAGAAATGGCAATTTCGTATACATTCTTTTTAGTTCTGCGTTCAGTTCTGCACACCTATTGTTTGAGCACTTCCTTATGATACGTGCATGAAGTTGCATAAGAAGAAAATTCTATTGTGGTTTACATAAACTTCCATATAAGTAATATTTTTTTCTATTCAATAATTTCCGCTTAAAGTTTCGCTTATCATCGTTTCAAACAATGCATTCCCTGCTTATCTTATTTATTGCATAAGTAAATGTTCAAACGGATAATACTAATATCAGGAATATACCGATACATCTTAATTCTTTTCAATGGAGTTTGTATTTACGTACAAGAATATTTATGGTAAACTGTACAATTGTCTTTATGTTAAGAAAAAATAAACATTTCTTCTATTCAATCATTTATAGTTAAAAGAACTAGAGTGTAAACAGTATCGTTAATTTGTATGTACATAGATAATTTTGTAGTATAGATTGTTAATATTATAAAGTCACTGAATACTATTTTATTAATCTTTTAATGATAAAAATTTCGCAGACTGGCGGACAAGTTATCGTCATTGTCAAAGTAACCATTTATGTATTCAAAGCATCACTTAATTAGCTACACCTGTATTTTTTATTATATGTATCGATATACTTGGTTTAGTTGTTAAATATTACTTAGCCTTTATTTATCATGGTTGGTAACACAAAAATCGATTCAAAATTGCCGCTCTGTGGCTTAAAATATAATAAATCACGCCAAAATACCACATTGCCGTTTTTAATGTACAATGCGGCCGCATCGCCGATTTAGTGATTTGTCAATTCTAGGTTTATAGACAAAATTTACAACTACGCATTTGAGAAGTATGACGCGAGAGCACAGTATATTGTAAGCCATGAATGATGTCGATAGATTAGGAAGGATACAATCAGAAATTGTAGGATGTGGCATCATTCGTATGAATTAAGTTACTGTTTGACCATCAAACTTTAGGAAGTGCCATAGCCACAGTTGCAGCCGAAGAAGCATCAGGAATGGTCATTTTCATGTGATTATGTACAATCAACTTAAATTTTATGTTAAGTACGTACGTGATTTTAGTTTATGTTCATTATATATTGTCTTTCACTACATCAATTTTTATTTTGTTGGCCTGATTAGTTCAAAAAAAACTACGATTATTCCATTTCGTATTATTTGATGCATACATTAATCATTTTAAACAATCAACGATAAACATGCAGCTGAGATCGCAACATATATTGATAATAAGATTGAAGCTTATTCTGCAACAAATAATCCATATAAATTTAAATTACTTTTTTGTGGAACTAGAGATGTTTTACCTCTGCTACATTTTGGAAATTATATAATAAAAATACTATTGTAATAATGAAGGTTAAAGATACTGATAAAATTCTTGGTGGATATAATCCAATTCAGTGGGATCATGTTGATTGACGATTATACAGTATTAATTGCAATAATTGCTTTATTTTTATTAAAAAATAATATTATTAAATCCTCTATTTTAAGTCATGTAAAATATTCACAATATGCAATTCATTATCATTCTGTTTTTGGTTCTTGTTTTAGTAATTGCTTTGGTCTTGTCATGAGAAATAATTTTGATCAAGATAAGCACTTGTTGTCATATACGAACGAGTTCTGTGAAACTTATTCGGCCTCTTTCTAATACAAGCACAAATTTTCACTTATCTCTTAAAGGTAATAAAAACTTATATATTTTTATTAAAGGGTAGCCAAATAACTTATAGAAAAATTATTGAATAATATATAGATATTAGATGCTTTGCGTTCAATAATTTAGTATACAAGTTTGTTAGTATCTGATCATTTTTTTAGTACTTAAATACAACTTGCTATACCAGTTCATTAAGATCTAAAATAATAGTTTATCTGATTTCATCTTATAACAAAATATTATTATTCTGATAATAATAATTATAAAAAAGAAAAAAAATAATTAAATATAAGGATAATAAAATAGAGTAAAGTAAAACAAATATATTAATAAAATAAAACAATACTAATTTTATAAGTAAAAAAGTAAGCCTATTAATAGAGTTGTACAAGCTATAACAAATATGTACTAATAAAAACTAGAGAGCATAATTTTACCTTAATACCAAAAAAATAAAAATACTATTTACTTTTATTGCAACTTATCTGACTTCTATTTTTATTAACATATTTGTATTAACTTATCTTTATAACAATTCAAAATCTTAATATTTTATACAAAACTGTTTTTTAAATTATTATTAATCTTTTTTTAAGCAATCATATAAGCAATTATAAAAACATATTGCATCTATTTTTTTAACTAAAAAATGTAATAAAACAAACTTCAATTTTAATTTATTAATTAAACTACAATATTATTTAACCTAATTATTAAGCATATATAATTTTAAATAAATTATACTTATATCTTTGTAGACTTTTTAATTAATTATATATTTACTTTAATATATGTTTTTTATTAATTAAGCAATTTGCAAAATTAATATTTAATTTATTTTATAAATCAAATTTAATATATATATTATTAAACATTTAAATCTAGTTAAGTTTTAACTATCTAGTAAGTTTAAATTACAGATAAATTAATCTAAGTTTTTATTTTTATATATAATTTTTTTTTAAGATTAAAGTAAGTACTTATAACTTAGAATTTTATTGATAGTATATTTTAACTAATAGTTGTATTACAATTATAGAAAGCAATTATAAAAAAAATATACAACTAGTTACAAATATAACTTTAATTATTATCTAATTTAAGCAATCTATTTAAAAATTTTATACTAGTTGTCATACTTAAAATCTATTTATAAATTCTTTATTTAAACACTCTAGTTTTTGTATCTACTTACTTATTTACTTTACTAACTGCTCTACTTATTATTAATATAAATATATTATAATTATAAAGTCTTTAAACAGTTCACTTATATAAGAAATATTTAGCTTTGTATCAAACTTACTAAAATTTTTTGTATCTTATACTTAAAGCTAATTTGATATTATTATAATTAAAATTAATATTTATAATTAAAGCTAATTATTAAACAGATATACTTTTCTAAAGTTCTTCAAACTTCAATATTTATTGCTCTAATATATTTTTTCTTATTTTTTATTAACTATTACTTAAAACTAATAGACTTTTGAAACTATTAATTTAAATAATTTAGTATAATATATCTTTATATACTTTTTCTTTATCAATTATAGTAGTCTGATTAATTATATACTTTCTTTATATATTTTGTTATTTAGTTTATTTACCTGTTTTTTTTGAAAGTAATTTATAAATTTTTATTATCTAATAGTATTATTAAAACTTTAGATTATCTTTTTATTTAAAATTTTCTAAATATAATTTTTTTCTTTATTTTTTAGTTATTTGTATCTAGTAATTTTATTATAAATTTATATTAAAATTTTATACAACACTGGTCTTAACATTCTTCTATATATATGTAATATTATATTTTGTATAAATATTCTAAGTTTCTAAGTATAAGTAGAATCTGACTTAGTGTATCCAAGATTATAGATATATGAATTTAATTAATTAATAAAATAGTTATTATAATACAAATTAAATTTTTAAATTTTTATTATTTATAGAATTTGAATATTAAACTTATTATTTAAAAATTAATAACCTGTTTATTTTACTAAGTTGCTACATTCTTTATATGTAATTTTTAATTTATTTATATTGTATAAATAGTAAAAGCTATATAATTAGTAATATAATAATTAATTTTAACTACAAATATTAATTTTATCTATAGTATATATATATAATTATTTTATATTACTAATAAAAATAAAAATAAAACTTTATTTTATTATTAAAAAAAAATAATTAATTTATTATTTATATAAAAACTAGTAAAACAATATAGTAAATAATAAAAATATATTTCTATATATTTTTTATTATTTTTAAACTCTAGCATTTTCTAAAAAAATAATAAATTCTAAATATATCAAAAATAATAATAATTTTTATTACTATTTACTATATTGTTTTACTAGTTCTTATATAAATTATAAATTAAGTTATTATAAAGGTCTAAGTTAAAAATTTTTTTAATTATTTATTTTATTTTTTTATTTTTATTTATTTTTAATTCACTACTAATATACTACTAAATAAAAAATATAGTAATTTAGTAAAATTATTAAGTTGTTACCTTTTTAAATAACTGGTTAAAAGTTTAAAACCTACTAGT